AACACAAAGGGTTATCATATTGCTACACTATGCTCATGCACGCTGCCTCCCCACACACATGGACTATCTGAAACAAAGGGTAATCATATTGCTACAGAATGCTCATGTACGCTGCCTCCCCACACACATCGTCTATCTGAAATACAAAGGGTTATCATATTGCTACAGAATGCTCATGCACGCTGCCTCCCCACACACATGGACTATCTGAAACACAAAGGGTTATCATATTGCTACACTATGCTCATGCACGCTGCCTCCCCACACACATGGACTATCTGAAACACAAAGGGTAATCATATTGCTACAGAATGCTCATGCACGCTGCCTCCCCACACACATGGACTTTCTGAAATACAAAGGGTTATCATATTGCTACAGAATGCTCATGCACGCTGCCTCCCCACATACATGGACTATCTGAAACACAAAGGGTTATCATACTGATACACTATGCTCATGCATGCTGCCTGCCAACACATATGGATTATCTGAAACACAAAGGGTTATCATATTGCGACACTATGCTCATGCACGCTGCCTCCCCACACACATGGACTATCTGAAACACAAAGGGTTATCATATTGCTACACTATGCTCATGCACGCTGCCTCCCCACACACATGGACTATCTGAAACACAAAGGGTTATCATATTGCTACACTATGCTCATGTACGCTGCCTCCCCACACACATCGTCTATCTGAAACACAAAGGGTGATTACATTGCTACACTATGCTCGTGCACGCTGCCTCCCCACACACATGGACTATCTGAAACACAAAGGGTTATCATATTGCTACACTATGCTCATGCACGCTGCCTCCCCACCCACATGGACTATCTGAAACACAAAGGGTTATCATATTGATACACTATGCTCATGCACGCTGCCTCCCCACACACATGGACTTTCTGAAATACAAAGGGTTATCATATTGCTACAGAATGCTCATGCACGCTGCCTCCCCACACACATGGACTATCTGACACACAAAGGGTTATTATATTGCTACACTATGCTCATGTACGCTGCCTCCCCACACACATCGTCTATCTGAAACACAAAGGGTTATCATATTGCTACACTATGCTCATGCACGCTGCCTCTCCACACAAATGGACTATCTGAAACACAAAGGATTATCATATTGCTACACTATGCTCATGTACGCTGCCTCCCCACACACATCGTCTATCTGAAACACAAAGGGTTATTATATTGCTACACTATGCTCATGCACGCTGCCTCCCCACACACATGGACTATCTGAAACACAAAGGGTTATCATATTGCTACACTATGCTCATGCACGCTGCCTCCCCACACACATGGACTATCTGAAACACAAAGGGTTATCATATTGCTACACTATGCTCGTGCACGCTGCCTCCCCACCCACATGGACTATCTGAAACACAAAGGGTTATCATATTGCTACACTATGCTCATGCACGCTGCCTCCCCACACACATGGACTTTCTGAAATACAAAGGGTTATCATATTGCTACAGAATGCTCATGCACGCTGCCTCCCCACACACATGGACTATCTGAAACACAAAGGGTTATCATATTGCTACACTATGCTCATGCACGCTGCCTCCCCACACACATGGACTATCTGAACCACAAAGGGTTATCATATTGCTACACTATGCTCATGTACGCTGCCTCCCCACACACATCGTCTATCTGAAACACAAAGGGTTATTATATTGCTACACTATGCTCATGCACGCTGCCTCCCCACACACACGGACTATCTGAAACACAAAGGGTTATCATATTGCTACACTATGCTCATGCACGCTGCCTCCCCACATACATGGACTATCTGAAACACAAAGGGTTATCATATTGCTACACTATGCTCATGCACGCACGCTGCCTCCCCACACACATGGACTATCTGAAACACAAAGGGTTATCATATTGCTACACTATGCTCATGCACGCTGCCTCCCCACCCACATGGACTATCTGAAACACAAAGGGTTATCATATTGCTACACTATGCTCATGCACGCTGCCTCCCCACACACATGGACTATCTGAAACACAAAGGGTTATCATATTGCTACACTATGCTCATGCACGCTGCCTCCCCACACACATGGACTATCTGAAACACAAAGGGTTATCATATTGCTACACTATGCTCATGCACGCTGCCTCCCCACACACATGGACTATCTGAAACACAAAGGGTTATCATATTGCTACACTATGCTCATGCACGCTGCCTCCCCACACACATGGACTATCTGAAACACAAAGGGTTATCATATTGCTACACTATGCTCGTGCACGCTGCCTCCCCACCCACATGGACTATCTGAAACACAAAGGGTTATCATATTGCTACACTATGCTCATGCACGCTGCCTCCCCACACACATCGTCTATCTGAAACACAAAGGGTTATCATATTGCTACACTATGCTCATGCACGCTGCCTCTCCACACAAATGGACTATCTGAAACACAAAGGGTTATCATATTGCTACACTATGCTCATGCACGCTGCCTCCCCACCCACATGGACTATCTGAAACACAAAGGGTTATCATATTGCTACAGAATGCTCATGCACGCTGCCTCCCCACACACATGGACTATCTGAAACACAAAGGGTTATCATATTGCTACACTATGCTCATGCACGCTGCCTCCCCACACACATGGACTATCTGAAACACAAAGGGTTATCATATTGCTACACTATGCTCATGTACGCTGCCTCCCCACACACATCGTCTATCTGAAACACAAAGGGTTATTATATTGCTACACTATGCTCATGCACGCTGCCTCCCCACACACATGGACTATCTGAAACACAAAGGGTTATCATATTGCTACACTATGCTCATGCACGCTGCCTCCCCACATACATGGACTATCTGAAACACAAAGGGTTATCATATTGCTACACTATGCTCATGCACGCACGCTGCCTCCCCACACACATGGACTATCTGAAACACAAAGGGTTATCATATTGCTACACTATGCTCATGCACGCTGCCTCCCCACCCACATGGACTATCTGAAACACAAAGGGTTATCATATTGCTACACTATGCTCATGCACGCTGCCTCCCCACACACATGGACTATCTGAAACAGAAAGGGTAATCATATTGCTACACTATGCTCATGCACGCTGCCTCCCCACACACATGGACTATCTGAAACAAAGGGTTATCATATTGCTACACTATGCTCATGCACGCTGCCTCCCCACCCACATGGACTATCTGAAACACAAAGGGTTATCATATTGATACACTATGCTCATGCACGCTGCCTCCCCACACACATGGACTATCTGAAACACAAAGGGTTATCATATTGCTACACTATGCTCATGCACGCTGCCTCCCCACACACATGGACTATCTGAAACACAAAGGGTTATCATATTGCTACACTATGCTCATGCACGCTGCCTCCCCACACACATGGACTATCTGAAACACAAAGGGTTATCATATTGCTACACTATGCTCATGCACGCTGCCTCCCCACACACATGGACTATCTGAAACACAAAGGGTTATCATATTGCTACACTATGCTCGTGCACGCTGCCTCCCCACCCACATGGACTATCTGAAACACAAAGGGTTATCATATTGCTACACTATGCTCATGCACGCTGCCTCCCCACACACATCGTCTATCTGAAACACAAAGGGTTATCATATTGCTACACTATGCTCATGCACGCTGCCTCTCCACACAAATGGACTATCTGAAACACAAAGGGTTATCATATTGCTACACTATGCTCATGCACGCTGCCTCCCCACCCACATGGACTATCTGAAACACAAAGGGTTATCATATTGCTACAGAATGCTCATGCACGCTGCCTCCCCACACACATGGACTATCTGAAACACAAAGGGTTATCATATTGCTACACTATGCTCATGCACGCTGCCTCCCCACACACATGGACTATCTGAAACACAAAGGGTTATCATATTGCTACACTATGCTCATGTACGCTGCCTCCCCACACACATCGTCTATCTGAAACACAAAGGGTTATTATATTGCTACACTATGCTCATGCACGCTGCCTCCCCACACACATGGACTATCTGAAACACAAAGGGTTATCATATTGCTACACTATGCTCATGCACGCTGCCTCCCCACATACATGGACTATCTGAAACACAAAGGGTTATCATATTGCTACACTATGCTCATGCACGCACGCTGCCTCCCCACACACATGGACTATCTGAAACACAAAGGGTTATCATATTGCTACACTATGCTCATGCACGCTGCCTCCCCACCCACATGGACTATCTGAAACACAAAGGGTTATCATATTGCTACACTATGCTCATGCACGCTGCCTCCCCACACACATGGACTATCTGAAACACAAAGGGTTATCATATTGCTACACTATGCTCATGCACGCTGCCTCCCCACACACATGGACTATCTGAACAGCAAAAAGTCCATAGGGTTATCATTTTCAATTCAATTCACTTTATTTCAAATGTTTCAGATATAGTATTTCTCATCGACATGAAGACATGAAGTTCTAAAGAAATATTGCTACACAATATGCTGCTTCCCACACAAAATGGACTACCTAACACCAGCTAATGATCTGAATCATCATATGATTATTTTGAATTGTGTTGGCTATCTTAAATGCTTTTTATTACAGAAAAATAAGTTGTACATGTACAAAGCTCTAGATTTAGAGAGAGGATAAAATACGATTTCAATAAACTAAATAAAGATTTACTCATTTTAAAGTATTATCTCTAAGAAGGTGAATTGGTCAAATATTGATGACACGTTTTTATGAGAATGTATCTAGTATGACCACACTAGTGGATATAAAAGAATAGTTTCTGTCAAATCAATAAAAGTACATGGGCATCAAAGTATTCCAGTAAATGCCTGATGGCCAATATAATGAGCCACATTTGAGAAAATTCCAATTAATGACTTACGGAAAAATTTGTGGTATGAGCTCCGACAGAAGGGGGTATACGGAGGTTCTAATAGATGACCAGTTTTAGGGTAGATTTCAAGATGAAAGTTATCCTTGCCATGATTCCTGAGTCTTTGAGCAATTTTCGATCCGGAGGTTGGTCCATATACACAGTCATCTTCACCAAACAGTAACAGATATTTGGCATCAGATTTTTCAACCTATAAAAAGATGTTGCCGCGGCTCAGATAATTATCTTTAAGAGTTACTTTTATGAGAATACAATTGTAATTTAGAGAGAGGATAAAATACGATTTTAATAAATCAAATAAAGATTTACTCATTTTAAATAATTATCTCTAAGAAGGTGAATTGGTCAAATATTGATGACACATTTTTATGAGAAAGTAATTACATAATAAAAAACCATAACATGATAAAATGATAAAAACATCATTTTAAATTGACTTTTATTTGACAATAGGGAGGCAATTTTAAATGACATTGCACTGGAATACCCCAATTTAACCCCATTAGAATATGACCAGAAAAATAAGCCGGGTTTTGTTGCATATACATGTACAGTGAAACCTGTCTTAGCGAACACCTCTCTCTAGTGAACACCTGTGTCTAGTGAACACCCCTTCCCAGCATATACTCCACTGACTTCTGTTAAACATATAGTCCTATCAATAAAACATATAAAATAGTCTACCTTTATTATGCATTCCTCTGGTACTTCAGCTAATTCATACGTCTTGGATAATTTAATGCCCTCATCAGAAAACTCAATATGTTCCATGTCCGGCCTAAAGTAAAAAAAAATATTTCAAGATCCAGGTGACGGCACCTTTGAAATGTAAAGTGTATAAACACATTTTTCTTGAAATTTCAACATCCATCAGGGACCAGAATTATTATGATTTTTTCCTGGTTTTAGTCTGTATTATATCATATGTGTTATTTCAAGATATATAAAGGAGTAATGATTATCTAGTACATGTACATCTTTCCATTAACAAAGCCTTTTATTGGTTTTTTATTGCCTTTTATGTATAAGAACCATGACATACATACATATACATGATCTCCTACACTGAATGCAGCAATGTTTCCAAAAAGTGAAAAATAAGCAAATTTTAGTTTATCCAGATATCATGCTAAAAAGTAATTACATCTCAGTCTATAAATACCAATACATTGCTTGTAAATATTACTATAAATGTGCAATTTTGTCATTTGATATGGACAATGGTCCAATAGAGTACTGACTTTGGCTAGTTCCTTGTAAATAAAATGGGATAATGGTCAACTTGTGTAATGTCTACTTACATGAAACCAGGTAGGGTCTGCCCTCTATATGTAATAGGTGTCTCTGAGAGGAAATGACAGGCATTTATTGCACACACAGCTTTTATCTGAAATGAAGAGTAAATCTGGATAATAATGAGCAAAGAACAAAAAACAGCATGTTACAACTGGCATCACTCAACATGTTACAAATGGCAGCATTTTACAAAGAGCAGCGTTTTACAATGGGCACCACATGTTACAAAAGGAATCATGTTACAGAAGGCAACATATTACAAAGGGCAACATATTACAAAGGGCAACATGTTACAAAGGGCAGCATGTTAATAAGGGCAACAAGTTACAAAGGGCAGCATGTTAATAAGGGCAACATGTTACAAAGGGCAGCATGTTGATAAGGGCATCATGTTACAAGGGTCAGCATGTTAATAAGGGCACCATGTTACAAAGGGCAGCATGTATATAAGGGCAATATGTTACAAAGGGCAGCATGTATATAAGGGCAATATGTTACAAAGGGCAGCATGTTAATAAGAGCAACATGTTACAAAGGGCAGCATGTTAATAAGGGCAGCATGTTAATAAGGACAGCATGTTAAGAAGGGCAGCATGTTAATAAGGGCAACATGTTACAAAGGGTAGCATATTAATAAGGGCAACATGTTACAAAGGGCAGCATGTTAATAAGGGCAACCCTTATACTTTCTGCTACATATTAGGCAGATCAAGAAATTTCAATTACAATCAAATTATTGAGTAAAGTTTACCTGTTTGAAATGTTCTGCCATAAGGAGGGCAAGGTTGCCTCCCTTGGAGACTCCAAGCACACCAACACCGCCATCTATTACACTGTTATGACTAGAAAGCCAGTTAGCTGCAGTCTGAAAAAATTAGGCTAGGGAAATTAAACTGCATGTTTAGCATTTTCTCTAATATCTGTTTAACCTTGTGAATAAGCATTTGTCAACAAGCAAATATTTAGAGAGCAAAATGGCAAAAAGTGGCAAAAAAAGAAAAAATACCCTGGTATCTATGAGCTTAAATGACATGTCATATTGCATTATTGTAGATCATGAAAGAAATTGTGCATTTTTCATTGTGGTATTTTGATAGAGGATTGGAAAAGCCAATGACTTAACCCAGGTTTAATGAAATAAAGCATTAACATGCAAAATGTCATAATCTACAATTTGTTACCGAAGCCAAACACAGAACACAAACCACCGACTGCTGAACACCCTCCACAAAAAGTTGGAGACTATCTCATATGTCACCATTTCTGGTGGTGACATAAAAAATACAAAAAAAGCTCAATAAGATTGCAAGTTGATGAACTAACTTCAAAGTAATCCAGCTGAACATCAGCCAGGGTTTTAGGCAAGTCCTCATACTGGAAGAAAGCAAGAGCCAGACTTGCTATTCCTCTTGATGCCAGTAGCGCAGCCCTGAACTCAGTTAGACCACCAAATGTGCCAAACAAGTCAATCACACCTGGGAATGGACCTGGGCCTACATGTGAAAATATCAGAAACATAAAACTTAGATCAGTACATGTACATTGTAGACTTTGAATGCAGGGCTCCAGAATGCAAGGCTCCAAAGGATGCAAGGTACCATCCACTCCTTCCTTGTTCCATCCTTCTTCCCCTGTCTTAAAAGCCTTGCATTCAGAGGACGAAAATGTATTCATGATGCACAGAACCAGAATATGTAAAATTTATGTTGTATGGTTCCTTCACCTAGGCAACATAATTCATGTATGCTAATGAAGGGGTCATGAAATGCCGGAAAGCAGGGCTAAGCCAAGACAATATGTATGACTTCTGAATTTTCATAATACCCTACAATATTTCTTCCAATAACTCCCTGTGAATGGCATATATTGTTGATTCATAAGATAAAGATTTGTGCTGATCAGTTGAGTATAAAACTCTATAGTTGATAATTGTTCACAGTTGAAACAATAGGTAACATTTCAACATTATAATTACCGCTTGGTAGGAACAGCATTCCCCTTATACACCCATCATTAACTGGTATCCTTTGAACATCTTTACGAATGTACCATCTTTCTAAATTAACACTATCTAGAATACAATTCATATGTTTGTCATTGGCACTTATATTTTTCAGTTCATCCATAGATTTATGTCCGTCCAATAGGTGGAGCTGTATGTGATAGGGTGTTGTGATGTCACGTTTTCCGAGGCGGATTCCTGGTTTGTGCTTTGGAACCATGCTCCATAATAATCCCATAGGTTCAATACCTGAAATATTAAAATATAATTAATAATGTTTACATATAACAGGTTGCTGTGGAGGTGGTAGACCAAGTAGACCAATTAAAGGTGCAACAATTAGTGCAGGGGTTCATTCAACAATCATCAACCAGTGTCAAAATCTATTTAAGTTTGGATATTTCATCAAGACTAACATATATTTTCATTATCTACAAAGAAACCACCTGGATGATTATTTCAGCTGATATTCCTCTTGAAATGTGGTGTATCTTAAAAATCTATAAGTGGGACTCCCTTTATAGAAGCTTTGAACTGAATTTACACTTCTTAATGCTGAAATTGATAGCTTATGCATACATTTTAAGAAAATAGGTATGTCAAAGAAGGTGTTAAGCCAAATATTGACCTGATAGTTCACAAAAAATAAAAAAAATTAGAATTTTCTCTCTTCAGTCCTTGTTGCACCTTTAATGGTATCTTACACAGGAGGGTTAAATTGCTTCATTAAGAAAATAGGTATGTCAAAGAAGGTGTTAAGCCAAATATTGACCTGATAGTTCACAAAAAATAAAAAAAATTAGAATTTTCTCTCTTCAGTCCTTGTTGCACCTTTAATGGTATCTTACACAGGAGGGATAAATTGCTTCATTAAAAGAGATTAGATGTGACACTGGGCAAAATTCTTCATTATGAAGCTTTTTTCAAAATGTTTCCTAATGAAGCAATTTAATCCTGTTCACGTATCTCTGAAGCTCTTTGTGTCAATAAGCACTCCACATGTACAATTAAATAGCCACGGAGCGATTCTTGAAAAACTGTGAACAATGTTTTCCAAAATGGAATTGTCTGTTACAATTTATACAATATGACAAGGTGAGAGATTTTGTAATTCAGCAATCGTGATATAAATCTGTACTTTTATAATACGTACATACATAAGAATAATTATACCGATGTAAACACCTTAATAGTAAGGAATTATGAGGATTTTTACAAAATATCCATTTCCTGACAAATGTGAACAATAGATTTACATCTCTATGAGAAACCAATTATACAGGCATTTGCATTTTGATTTGAGTATTTCATTTGTTAAAAATATATCAATACAAAATAACAATATAAATAGTCATTTTTAAACAAGGACATATAGGACTTTCATTTTCATGAATAATACAAGACAATCGTTTTCAACTTACTTACCCTTATATGTCCCACCCTGGCAAACCCCTGTATCTAAATCAAGGCAACCAGCGCCATCTGTAACATAGTGCCCAAATGACCAGAAGTGCTGCCCTCTTTCTTCCAGCTCTGCAAGCAATGTTACAGGCTGATGTTGCTTCGCTGCTGATACATTTACCTTGATGATATCATCGACCAACGCAATAGCTGGTTGTACTTGGAGGCTCAGACATCTTGCCGTTTCGTGATCTAAAAACAGAATAGTATTTATTTCAAAATGACACATTATTGAAACACTTGAAAGTTGTTTGTGCTTAAGCTGTAGATTGATTTGATCATGCTGAAGGATTTAGGGAGGTTAAGCAGCACTAAAGGAACTGATTGTGCCAAGTTGATTGTGCTCTATTAATATCAGAAATAAAAAACACTATTTCTATATTTATGTGGGCCTGTTCTTTATGCTGAATGTATTGACTGTGACGTAGCTGGATTACATGTAGGTGACCGATTGATTGTGTTTACATTATTTGTTGATCTAAAGGGTTATGCTGAGTGGATTGAAAGTGATGATTGTGATATGCTGTATGCTGGATGATTATTACAGCGTCAAGTTAAGCAGAATGAGCCATGTCCATGGCGTTTCACTTCGCTTCTTAGAGCTCCTGGTTTATAACATAGACGTCCTAGTTTAGAAATAGGCAAAATGGCAACTGAATTTATGGGAATCACAGGTGCCCCCTGGGTAATAAGAGTGTGGGGCCATCCTGCCTACAAACACATAAAGGCCATCCAACTGTCCTGCAATTTGAGTATTTGTCACGCATTTGCTGGAAAATTTGAAGTCACGCCAGTTTTGTTTTGCGTGACAGAAAATGTACAAAAAATTTCGAAGCTACGTGACATCTGTCTCAGGTGACATATACACATATTTCTAACCAAATGCGTGACATATACGGAATTCACGTGAAAAGTCTGAATGCATTCGCTTTTTTTGGAGTTCGTTTTTTTACCGTATCAGCGTTTTATAAAATGAAGATTTTTTAAATATCAACATAATGCTTGATTTGCGTGACATTATATCATACATGCAAAATTGATGCATGATTTCAATTTGTCCAGCAAATGCGTGACAATCATGTCATGTGTGAGGGTTGACAGGGCAGCATAGATGATCAATATGTGTTTGCGGACAGCCACGCATTACTCGAGTCTCTAGCCAATACTTGGCTAGAGGGGATTCATCTGGAATACTGTGAACTCTATTTGAAAAAAGCTGCCGGGGTGTCATAAATTTATTGAATATTTTAAAAATCGCCAGATAAATAAATCATTAATCAAACCGGACCCAGCTCAAATCCTTGATGAGATATGACATGATTTCATCAGGATTTCGTCTAAAATTAAAACAAAATGGCTCCAAGAAAAATGGCGATGTTCGAAAACTGGACGAAATGTCGTTACGTCTGACATTAGAAACTGGCTGTAAATTCTAAGTTAGCGATCCAGAAGATGTGAACTAATACACTGATCACTTTGTGTGTGTTTTGGAATTTTTGGTGAGGTAATAAGACCAAAACTCGCAATTCAAATTGTGATGTGGAAAAATGGCGGACATATGATTTCAAATTTTATGATTACGACATTACCAGTTGTTCATGCAGGAATATATCTGTACTGGAAGGCCACGATACAGTGGCCTTAGAAGAAGGTAAGCCACGCACACTTATTACCCAGAGGGCACCTGTGATGTGAGTTCCCATAAGAATATAGCTCCATATGCCACAGGAGGTGAAAGTCTAAGTTCAACTTGAAAACTTTTTCTTGTGAAGTTTTTATTTGTTTTGAATGACTTGGTTTCAGCTGAAATAATGTTATCAGGGGTACAATTACTCCCGGGAAATCCTTCGACCACCATGTTGCCCACATGACACAACCCTCATGTTTGATGCCCGATCATTTTTTCAATTTTTTATTTTTGCGCAAAATTCGTTTTTCACGTTAATGCCAAGATACCCGGGTTTAGCGCGCGCGTACTATAACGTCACTATAGCAACGTTTTGACCTTGAACTAACAGGATAAAGGAACGCGCTGCAGTGTCTGAACGGGTCACGACAATGCAGCCTTTTTGCACGTTTTATGGACAATCTTCGGTATTTTTAAGGTAAGTTTAAAACGAGGAGTGCCACTGAAATCCTGAGATTCATAGCTTTGACGTGGTATGAGAAAAGATCCATAAATATTGCAATTTCTTACTGATCGAGACTCTCAAACTTTGATGAATAAAAACAGGTGCTTTTCCTGAGACCCAGCGTCTTCTTAATTTTCAGTACTTTGCTAGAAGGTTAGAAATTTTTTCTTTGGTACACATTTGGAGCACATAACAGGTATACTTTTGAGCAACTTTGAAAATTATTCATCAAATTTTGACGGAATTATCAACCAAAGTGTTGGCGGATTTTGGTGTCATTTGCAGTTCAAATTGATAGTTTTCAGCGTCTCTAGATAAGGGATTTTGAGGAAAAATTGTGAAAAGCTTATTTCTGAGGGTTCATGAATACAGGTCAATGTGTGTGTAATATCTAAGCATAACTCTTGGTAGATTTTCTCATCCATCGCCATTTGTACCCCCCGAGACCTCAAATGTGGGTCCCTAGTCCAGTTCGGATTGTTCGATTTCCTTATATGGTGTTTAGACACCATATGAACGATTATTTCCGAAGGTTCATATATTCAGCTTAATGTGTGTTAAATAGCTAAGCATAACTCCTGATAGATTTTCTCATCCATGGTCATTTGTACCCCCGGGACCTCAAATGTGGGTCCCTAGTCCAATTCGGATAGTTCGATTTCCTTATATGGTGTTAATACACCATATGAAAGATTATTTCTGAAGGTTCATATATTCAGCTTAATGTGTGTTAAATAGCTAAGCATAACTCCTGGTATATTTTCTGATCCATCGCCAGTTTTACCCCTGAGACCTCAAATGTGGGTCCCTAATCCATGTAATCTGGTTTGGATTGTTTGATTTCCTTAAATGGTGTTCAGACACCACTTGAAAAGTTTATTTCTGAACTCCTGGTATATTTTCTCACCTATCGCCATTTGTACCCCCGAGATCTCAAATGTGGGTCCCCGACTCCACAGTCTGGTTTGGATTGTTCAATTTCCTTATATGGTGTTCAGAGTTCAGACACCACTTGAAAAGTGTATTTCTGAAGGTTCATGTATTCAGCTTAATGTGTATGTAATAGCTAAGATAAACTCCAAGTAGATTTTCTCATCTATCAACATTTGTACCACCACAAGACCTCAAATGTGGGTTCCTAGTCCGGTTCGGATTATTTGATTTCCTTATATGGCGTTTAAACACCACATGAAAAGATATAATAATACAATATATGACAATACATGTATTATATGAATTCAAACTCATTTTATTTACCAGTTCACTAGTTTTATTTTGTATTTTATTGGGTCTAAATTGATGGGTGCAACATTGATAGGTGCAACATTCATTCAAATTACACATATAAAAGCTTTTTATACCTTCTAAATGATCAATATTATTCAATATTATCAATAATGTACACTTATTTTCTTCCAGCTACCGAGTGAGAATGGACATGTAGCAACCATGCCTCTTTACCTGTTGACTCCATCTTTGAATGTTATGCCAATGATTGAGATCTGCCATGTTGCAGAAAAATGTGATTTTCGAGGTATGTACACAATGTTAAATAAATCGAATGTACAGCGTGTCAAATAAATATGATAGATAGTTTTACTGTGCTAAGGAACAATTCAGATATCATGCAGACAAAAAACTTATCCAACATTATGTGGATCATAAAGTTAAGGGGGAGAACATATTTATTTGATACCCTGTACAGGGTGTCCCGAAAGTATGGGGGCCCCCTAGGCGGACATATACCAATGTCTTCATAGTATGTGTCATATATCATTTTAAAGCTTATCCAAACTTACATTAATTTGCCAAGTATCATGGTTCAACTCACAAATGGTAAATAGTTACAGGCATTTCAAAACTAAGTGTTTAGCTAAACATATAGTTCATTTCAGTATCCTGGTAACAGCCCTGACCTGAATGTGACCGAAAATATGGGAGCTATTGTCGACAAAAGGATGGATATTGAGTTCTAAAAAGAGGAAGTTGAGGGTAGATACTCCAGGGAAACTCTTCTAGAATGCTTTAAAAACATTTTATGAGGATAAAAAATGCCAAATCCCTATTTGAAGCATGTTTGAGGTTATATATGGAAAGCATTGCTGCCATTAACATGGCTTAGGGACTCAGGGAGACACACCGACTTTTATTTTGGTGTAAAACTGACTTTAATTTTTTTAAACTTTTTCCCATTTTGAGTTCAACTGTGATACTTGGCAGATCGGTGTAATTTTGGATGCATGATCTTTCAAATGATATATGGCACATACTATGGAGACATTGAAAAATGTCTGCCTAGGGGGCCCCCATACTTTCTGGACACCCTGTATATTAAATGCCCATATAAAGTTCCAGTCACTTTGGCTTAGAGCTTAGGCTTTATTATGCGTGTAGTACTCCAATACTAGACCAATGTTTTCGAAATGCGGTATGTGAGGCCTTTCAATTTAATTTCAAGAAGACTTACTTAATACATGTACTAAATCCTGCTCTTGTGTATGTTTCATGAGATTTTATCCAAATTTTGGACAGATTTTTTTTTTCCTGTGACACCTGAATACTGCCACACCATCATTATTAAATATTATTTGTATACATGTACTAGTAGAATATGTAATTTCTTATATCAAATTCAATTTATTTCAGTTATGCTGACATCTATGTGCGTACTCTATACATACATCTGTGTGAATGGGAATGTATGAGACTGACTCCTGAGGGAAATGCCTCTGTTGTAGAGCTGCATCTCGGTCTTCTACTGACTACTACGCTGATAAGGTAATTTCAAGCTTATACACTCCTTGTAATCATCGGTAGAGTTTTGGTCAATAATGATGTTGTACTTATATAACCAAGCTTAACTGAGATTTTAAATGGCAAACAATGCAATTAAATGCTCCAGAAGAGAAAATAATGGAAATGTATTCAATATATTACGGCTTATGGAAAAATTTCAATTGATTTTCTTTGCAAATATCAATGTCTCTAACAATCTATTTAATAACGAACTGCAATGATTCTATGATTATTTTAAAGCTATACAATGATAACGAACAACCCCAATACTTTTTCTTGATATATAAAAACCTAAAAATGT